AGATTGGAGGGTTCAGGGTATCTCCTAGTCGAGCAGTCTCGACTAGAGCCTTCTTGCTTGTTTAGTAATTCGATAAGGCCACGGCAAGTGCAGTCTAGACCAACTACAGACATTCTTATCAATTAAATATCTTAAGAGTTATATTATATAATGTATATTTTTATAATTTTATAGTTGCTTCCAATCAAGTACTCTTAGTCTTCTTGTCTTTTCCAAGCAGATCACCTTTCGGAAGGATAATATATATATTAATTTCTTTTCCCTAATTATGATAGAAGTCAACTAAGAGCTGACAAATAAGAATTAAATGAAGAATATTAGGTTAATTGATACATATTGCCCTAGATCTCCGACTTCTTTCTTGAAATCGTAATACGTGAATCTGATACGCTTAATATAGACTCGCTTCAATCTTAAAACTCACTCCAATTTTAAATTGTAATACACTAGCATCCTCTTATAAGGACTCTCAATAGGCCGTTGTTATACCCGGAAGACGCTATAACTATACAAGTTTACTCATATTTTCGTCGCATTAACCGAACTCCACTGTAATTGATTTCAATTTCGTTTGCAGACCCAGAACGCAGCGGAGATTCACGCGATTATCTCGGCATCGAAGCCGCGCATCACGTGGTCGGCGCGCGACGCCATCCAGGAGGCGCGCGAGGCGTGCGGCGGCCATGGATACCTGTACGCCTCCAAGCTGGGCCAGATGCGCAGCGACCACGATCCGCTGTGCACCTACGAGGGCGACAACAACGTGCTCGGCCAGCAGGCATCCAATTGGCTGCTGCGCCAGTGGAGCGCCAAGGAGCTGGAGTCGCCCATTGGCAGCGTCACGTTCCTGCGGCGTCGCGAGGCCCTGTTGCAGCTGACGTTCGCGCAGCTGCGGCAGCAGAGTCCCCTGGACAGCTGGGAGTGTAAGCGAGCGCGTGATTGAGTTTACTGTGGACAACGGCATGAACTCTGTTCTTTATTGCAGTTGCGCTCAGCTGCTACGAGTGGCTGCTGTGCCACCTGATGGCGCGCACGACGGCCCACATCGAGGCGCAGCTGGCCCAGGGAGTGCATCGCTTCGAGGCGCGCAACAACTCGCAGGTGGGGGGCGCGCGGGAGCTGTCGCTGGCCTACGCCGAGTACTTTGCCCTGCGCAGCTTTGTGGCCCACGTGCGGCAGCTGCGGCTGGAGGAGCCCTATGTCCAGGTGCTGCGCACGCTGTACGATGTCTACGCCTTGTGGTTGCTGGAGAGCCACATGACCACGTTCTATGTGGGCGGCTTTGCCGTGGGCGGCGACTTTGCGTCTGCCGTGCAGCAGCGCCTCCTGCAGAGCTGTGCGCAGCTGAAGGACATGGCCGTGAGCGTGGCCGATGCCATTGCTCCGCCGGACTTTGCACTCAACTCGGTGATTGCGCGAGCCGACGGGCTGCTCTACGAGAATCTGCAAAACGAATTTATGACCAACGAGGGTGCCTTCCAACGGCCCGCGTGGTGGCGCGACGTGCTCATACCCCAGGGCCAGGAGAAGTCCAAGCTCTAAGCCAGGCAGCGGTACATGGGGGGGACAAGTGGCTAGGCAGGTCGATCGGTCGGTGAACCAATTTAGCTAGATGTACAGCTACTGTTATATAGTCATATCGCATCCAGGTATTAGCTCTTACTGCAACGGTAAACACATCATATATAGGGATTTGTATAGAGGCCTTGACATGAATTGTTTCATTTCCTTTAATCTTTGACGAGTTTTGTGATTGCAACAAATCGAAATGAAAGCAATATAAGAATTATTGAATAAATTCAAGCAATTGAAATTAAAAGAAATGGCGAAATTGAACGGTTTCTCTCCGAGTATTACCCACATTCCCCCATTCTGGATGTTGACACGAAAACAATCAACACTTGTTCCTATCAATCAGAGATCAGTTAAACTGAAACTCAAAATACTATATATATGTATATATATATAGTATATAGTATATATATTCATGTAAATCCACTATATTATAGATTAAATGTTTAATATTGAATCTGTTGCGAGTTGTGTGAATAAAAATGCATGAAATCGTTCGACTTGGCTTGATTTTGGAGCCTCTAACTGAATTATTTATAAGACCAAATGATTTAGTGTAAAGTGGTCCATAGCTTAGGGGCAAAACAAAAGCTGCCTTTTGTTATAATTAGTCGGCGAAGCAAGCACATAGACAGCATTTTACATATTACGCACACACACATTCATTGTAGGTGTGGGTGTGTGTGTGTGTGTGTGTGTGGCTAGTGTGCAAAGGTGCTTGTCATTGTTTGATCGGCTCGGTGTGAGCCCCGTTTATAAGAGGACCTGCGCTCACCTGCTCCAGCTCAGACGTGGCTAGCGTGCCACACAGTAAACACGAGCGGAGGTACGCGATCAAAGAGTGAGTGAGAGGGCAACAGTGAGAGGGAGCTCCGAGAGGGATCTGTGAGAGCTAGTTCTGAGCGCGAGCTGTGATCGTGGCTAAGAATCATAGTCACTCAGCTCTGACACACCATATCAATTACGATCCAGTGACTGAACCGAGAGACTGAGCGAGAGAGAGAGAGGGTGTATGAGAGATGTGTTAAATACAGACGCTTCGTTTGTTTTCATAACTTTGTTGGCTTTGCGAATCGGCGGCGCAGTTCGATTTGATTTTTTGGCCAGTGTGTGAGTAAGTGAGCTGTGCTGGCTGTGGGAAAGGCCACCTTTGGCTGATAAGGCGTTAAAAAGAATATGCTTCGACACTAACGACGACATTCGAAAAGACATTCAACTTAGAACGCGCCTTGGCTGAGGCCAAATCGAACAAAGCCCAGACAAAGATATCCATTTAGCCTAGGCTCATGCCTAGCTGTGCGAATTTCCAAATCATATGTTAATTCGCTGACTGGTTTTTGTTTCGTGCTGTCTTTGTGAAGAAAGCTTGGCCATTTATTATTCCGGTATTCGGACAGAAACCGTCTAAATATGGTGATCTAGTCAGCAAAAAGCCCCGCAATGAACCATAAACAAGAGCTCGGACAAAGTGCCACAGTGAAGTGCAACAATAAAATATTCCGAGAGCTCTCATAAGCGCTCAACGAGTGCGAGCGGAATTGCAAATCAAGAAGCGCCGAGCGCTGAATGGAAGTGATGTACAAAATGCGCACCAAATTGCTAAACGCTTTCAAGAACAACAATAAATGTTTTTTTATTAATTGACAAAAAAATAAAAAAAAATACTAAAAAAAAAAGACCAACCAATTAGTGAAACCGGTTTAGAAATCTCCGGACAAACAAAAATACACGGCGAACATCATATAGAAATCAATTAATTTACATTTTGGGGATTTCCGCTTTGAATTTGGTGATTTTCTCACATGTACCGCCCCCTCGAATAGCCCTCTCCCTGCAGCCCTTTCTCTCTCTCTCTCTCTCTCGCTCTCTCTCTCTCTGTCTCTGGTTCGCTATAATTAATAACTCAATAATTGAAAAGTCGTGTAGTTGCAATTAAACGAACTGTTATCAAATCTAATTGACGATTACGTCCAGGCTCGTGTTGGGCTCAGCAAACATCTCGGGTTTAGGGGCAGAGTATGCGATAGTCGACTAGAAGCAGTTTTTCAAGCTGGACTCAAGTTAGACAAGCTCAGAGCTAACAAGTGAGAATTCAGCCAAACAATGGCAATAGAGATTGTTTTCAATTTGCATAGATCGAGAATATTATGAGTTATATAAGTGAGACCCATTAACGGCAGATGAAAACAAAACAAAAACCAAATCATCAAAGTCAAGAGCAACAGCCACAGCAGCAAACCGGATCGCTTACAGCTCAGCCGAGACCAGTTTCTATCCTAAAATCTAATTTTACTTATTTTACTTATATTGTTTGTATTTCTAGCTAAAATCAACCGAATTTTTATATGCAAATCAAAACTCAGATATAATATGTGGAAACTTTTGCTAATTTGTATCGTCATGAGCGCATTATACACCGAGGGAGATGCTGCATCATCGAGTAAGTACAGTGAACACCAGAATATAATATAGCAGATATAAGAAAAATGCGTAATTCACATTTATTGTCCGCTCTGCTCACCCATGGGTGAAGTGTGAAGTGTGCTGAAGGGTACATCAGTTTCGTGTCTATTTATGTAACAAATGATGTAACTCATTAGGAGATTAAATCCGCCTTAGTCAAGTATATATAATCGTGATGATGCCAGCTCATTCAATTTGGTGTCCGTGATTACAGACATTTCAATATCAAACAAAAATATATACAAATGTAATAT